GTTGAACGTAGCCACGTTCAATTTTCCGGTTTATGTGGAGTGGTGGTGCGGTGGTTAAAGCACCGCGATATGAACCTCGTGACCCGAGTTCGACGCCCAGCCACGTCCAACAGCAGTGTCGTGGTGGCATCTCAGCTGGTCCTAACCCCCCACCACCCCATCCCCTTTCCTTCATCAACACGCGCTCACTAGTGTGGTGAAGTATGGTCAAGCAACCCCCTGGCTACGTACGGTGCGAAAGAAGTTAAGCGTCGGTTACGATTGAATGATTCTCGTGAATAATTTCCATTTTTTTCGGGTTTTGCCTCCACAAATTCTGATAAATTACTTTGTTTATGGGATGTACCACAGACAGGTCGAACATTAGAGTGTGGGGGCGGAGGGGGGGGGTGTCTTATGGTGCCCTAGTGCCAGTTTATAACATAGCCTTGCATCGGGGCTTGTGAATTTCCCACGCCGCATGCATTGCTCAACACACTGCGAATTCGGAAAGAGGAATCGGAGAGCACATTTTTTTCTTCGTCCGCGCAGCACAATACCCGAAGCTGCACGGAAAGGTGGGTGACCGCTGCATAAATAAGCTCCTGTCTGTGCAAAAAAAAAAATAACAACCAAAATCGCTTCATCCAAGACTTCGTGGACCATTGCTCTTTCAGCCCCCTCCCACCCACTTTACTTAAGTCAATGGCGCAGCATTTCCTGAGCCTCGTCTGTTTCAATTTAAGTGCAGAGCTTCGTGTTTTATGCGCCTTTCGCTGCCTCTCGGTGCAGGATGGGTGAACCTTGTTCGAAGCTAAGGCCTGGCTGGCCCTGACAATTCGGACCTATCTCGGTGGGACCTTGACTATCGTTGTTTGGTAGGGGGCGCGCGCTTGCGTGTTGGCGGTGGCGGAGGGTCGTGTGTGGTGGTAGGAGGTCAAGAAGGGAGGGGGAGGGAGTGCTCACGTGAGTGAATAAACGCGGAGCTCGATGAGTTTGAGTTCACAGTATCCACCCCGTTATTCACGAACTTTGGATAGCTGCGAATCGCATTTGGAACTCGACACGACTGCATCTAGAGAGAAAGACAGTGACGAGAGAGCGAATGTGATGAGATACTTTTCATGTATTTAATAGCTCTATGTATCTGTTTAAGGGTAATTCATTAAAAGGATATGTTTTCGTAGGGCAATATCATTATCCGCGAGATTTGCTGATCACGAGCGTCTCCAGAACGTATCCCTCATCGCAAATAATGAGGGAATAGCGCATTCGATTTGTTACACGGCATGATGATGACGACGACCTCGTTAGCCAGTTGCACGGCTCTCTTGCGCGGGAGAGATCCGCGGTGCGTGAACACAGCAGCAGTAACAAGACCGTGAAGCGTGAATGGGTATGCTAAGGCTGCAACATCCACAACACTTTAAATGCCATGCATTTTTGTCCAACGTCTTCTGGCTTGACTGTCAGAATTTTAGAAAGGGGTGGGGGGAGAAGTGGATGCTGAGCATTAATGAGTGAAACATGCGTTTAGATTATTTAGAATATTTGTCTCAAAGTCGCACCGCTGCTCCTCCTCGGGATCGAGAGGAGCCAGGTTGAGATTGGTTCAGGCACCCGGTAAAGGAAGTCCGCCCCAGGGTAGACTCCCCCTGGAACTCTGCCGGGCAGCAGCAAGGCCCACTGGGCAAAGACCCCGGGGCCAGCCCAAGACACGCTGCTGCTGCTGGCGGTGGGACGATGTCGCTGTGTATAGTGTAGTGTATAGTGTAGTGTATAGTGTAGTAGTGTATAGTCTAGTGTATAGTGTAGTGTATAGTGAAGTAGTTTATAGTGTAGTGTATAGTGTAGTGGTGGGACGATGTCGCTCGGCTCGCCTGGGAACGCCTGGGAATTCCCCAGGAAGAGCTAGAGTGTGTGTATAGTAGTGTATAGTGTAGTAGTGCATAGTGTAGTAGTGTATAGTGTAGTGTATAGTGTAGTAGTGTATAGTGTAGTAGTGTATAGTGTAGTAGTGTATAGTGTAGTAGTGTATAGTGTAGTGGTGGGATGATGTCGCTCGGCTGGCCTGGGAATTCCCCAGGAAGAGCTCGAGTCTGTGTATGGTCGTGTATAGTGTAGTGTATAGTGTAGTAGTGTATAGTGTAGTAGTGTATAATAGTGTAGTGTCGTGCTTGAGTCCATCGCCAGGGAAAGGGAGGTGTGGACCGCCACTGCCGCCGCCGCGACCCTCACCAGGACAAGCGGACTGAGAAACGAACGAACGACTCAACATTTGGCTGCAATAAATTTCCACATTGAGCCACTTCGTTGAGCCATGGCTTGCGGCCAGATCGCTTCTGCAAAAGATGCTCAGAGCTCTGAGGGCTATACCTGGTCAAATAAAAATTAGTTTAGTTTTATTTTACTTGAGTCATTTGCTTGCCTTTCCTATACTTAGCACGCCCGTCGTGTTTTGTCTTGTTTGTTGAAACTTTCTGACCCGCCCCTACTGGACATTTTGTGAAAAAGTGCTTTATAGCTCATCGGATTGCTCCAGTCGAAATGAAGATTCGTATTCTGATAGTGGGGGGGGGAGGGGCTGGACTCTCAGCTGGTCCTGACCCCCCCCCCCCCCCTGCTGCCCCCCTTTCATGGGAAAGGGGCTCAAGTGTGGACCGAAAATCAGGACAGGGGGCAGAGGGCAACCGCATTCACATTCGTGAGAGTCTGTACTGTCGCGAGCGTTACGGAGACGCTGACCCCTGCTGTACATTTGGAGTCTGCGTGTCTCTCTCTCTCTCCTCGTGGTCGTGTGGATTTTTCTCCGGATCCTCCGTTTCCCCCCCAACCCCACATTTAGAATCAACGCCAAGCGTTCAGAGTATTTGGCTGCGATAGCTTTCCGCTTGATGAGCCACTCCGTCGTGAGCTGTCATTTTGTGGCCAGGTCGCGACGGAAGAAGAGCTGCACTGTATAGCTCAGTGAGGCCTGCCTGGTAAGATAAAAACAAACATTGCGTTGTAGTCGTTTAATCGAGAGGGCTGGCGTTCGGGGGTGCCTGAGTGCGAGCACGTCGAGGGAGTGACTTCACGATGCTCGCTCGGCCGACTTGTGTAACATCGCTCCGGCGCGACGTAACCCGACGTTTAACACAGCAGCGGGCGGCAGGGCGACAATGCTTCCGTGGCTCCGCCAAGTTTTAAGTGAGGCTTTGTGATGGTCGTGAACACGGGGACGGCAGGGGGGGAGGCTGCTTAGCGGTGGTGGCGGAACCTGTCAACGTTATTTTCTCGCTCGAACGCGGCGCTTACGCGACCACCCAAAACTCGCCGCGCCCCCGATTAGCACAGTTGGCGAGGTGCGACAGAAGGTGGGGGGGATAGGTGGGGGGGATATTTGGGGGGGGGGGGTATGTGGGGGGGGGATAGGTGGGGGGGGGGGTACGTGGTGGCGGGGTTTAGAAATCTGTCCCGTTGTTTCAACTCCCGGGGCCGGCAGATTCAATCAAAGCGACGCGCGCCCTCCGGTTTGCAAGTCCAGTGGGCGCTGCTGCTGATCATCTCACCGCTGTGGCAGCATGGAAAATGAATACCCAGCTCCGTTCTGTGGCGGTCTGTGCTGAAAAAGAAAAATTCCAGCGCAGCACTCGCCTTGCGAGAGAATATCTTCCGCAAGGCTCGCCCGGTAAAAGAAATTAAAATAAAACGTGCACGCCATTCACAGGAATCCACGACGTGGGCAACGCGATTACCAGATTTTGGCGCCCTCATTGCCAGCGCCGCTTAATGCCCTGCGGTTCAGCTCTCGCGCGAGGCCGCTATTAAATTCGCCGCGTTTGGTATTATTTTTTTTAGCGGAGCGGCGTAATTTACGGGCCGCAGTCCCCGGGACAAGCCGTCGTCCTCCTCCGTCACGTGCGCTTACCCTGCCTCGGGAAAAAAAATCGGAGGCACCGGTGCCTCTGGTCTCATCCGGCAAAGCTGAGCCCATTTTTGACCCTGCCACATTCCAACGTCAAGCGTGATTTTTGCTGGTGTTGGGAGATTGCCGTTGGTTTTGCGATTATTTATTTGTCGCCCGGTTCTGTTGTGCGTGGTTTCTCCCACCCCCGCCGCCGCCACGTCCACCCATCGCACGCTCCTCCGCTGAACGCACCACCACCGTTTATTTTTGCACGTTCCGAGTGTTTTTGTGCGGGCGTTGGGCAAAGATGACTGAATTTGCAGTGTGCACAATCGGTGCAAAAGTCAATTGAAAGGTTTTGCTGAAATTGCAGTAAATTCGCCAACAAGTTTTGGAATGATTTAAAAGCTATGTAATTTGTGCCTGCCCACTTGCACACTGGCTGTCTCGAGCCATCTCTCCGATAAAAATTAAACAAGGACTAATTTAGAAAATCACGACGTTCCTCTTTTTCTTCAGACTTCTCAGTCTCGTACTAAAAATCGTCTGTCCCCGTGGTTAAATTGTGATATTCTGAGCTCAGAAACTTAGTTGGTGTGTGTGTTCCATTCGAATGCGTGCAATAATTTTGATACGATTTTCTTTAAAAATATATATTACCATTCACCGCTCAATGGCGCCTTCGATTCGTACGGTTGGCTACGTACGGTGTGAAGGACGTTCAACATGCATACATATGTGATTTCAAATAAATACAGGTGCACTTTGTAGGTTTGTTTGGGGTAACCTCTTCGATGTGCTTCCGCATTGTACCGCACGCTGTTCGCCATGATGTTCGACTGTTCACTCTCCGCGCGGGGAGCTTCTGGAATTCACTTCATGAAGAAGCTCCCAGCACATGGAGTGAAACGTCGGGCATCATGGCCACGCAGCACTTGGTACAACCCGGAAAACGTCGGAGAGCAATTGTATCAGTTTTTTGCAGTTGATCGTAATGTCTACTCCGATGGTCCACGATCGTGTGCTAATCGTTTCTTTCCCCTTTCTGCCAACAGCACGTTGCTTGTAACAGCTCCTTTGTTTCGTCACAGTGCTAACAATGTTTTTTTTTACTGCCATTCTCTGATAACAGATGAGAGGGAAGACGTGCAGAAGAAGACGTTTACCAAGTGGGTGAATGCGCAGTTCGATAAGGTATGTAAATACTCTCCTACCGCCGCCGTCACGATGTTGTCTGCACCTTCTGGACTGGGCGTCCGCAGTTTGAAATATGTTCATGCTTGCTGGTCGTTTAATAATGTAATTAATCCACTCCTTCGTCAACCGAACACACGTCTTTTTTTTGTTTTATCAGTGCCGAACTGAGGTGGAACATCTAATTTGCAGTCTGGCTCCGATCGTGACCCAGGTTTACAATAACGTTACGTAGTCGACAGCCCGGAAAGTTGTTGTGACTGCAACTTCGTGTGTCTGTGTGTGTGTGTTTGTGTGGCATTGTTGGGGGAGGTGGTAGGTTAATGGTTCGTGCACCAGACATCCTGGGTTTGATTCCCTGGCACGGCTTAAACATCGGGGGCGAGTGATCTATGAACCTGTCCTGGGCTTGCCCCCTAGGTTAACTCAGCTTTAAATGAGTACATGTGTGTAAACTTCAGCGCTGGGGAAACAAAGGTGGCTGGGCATGGTGTCTAGGGCACACTGCCTCCTCATGCGCCGTGGCGGTCTTAATAGGTGCTCGCTAACGGCACTCGTCCCCAATCTGTATGGTCAGACGGCATCTTTGTCTTGGTAATATTTCTGTTGTCGCATCAGCATGTCGGAGGTCACAGCATTATCTACAAGGCAGTGAGTTCTAACCTTGATATTTTGAAACATGCATTTCGTCATGCTTTAATATTCCGCTGATTCGGCATCAGCCCCGGTTGTTGTATTGTGTTGTTGCACCGCGCACGGGATGCAGGACGGTTTTTGTTCATATTGAGGTGACTTTATACGACGTTGTGGTGGGCCTTGTCAAGTGCCTACTGGTGCCTACATGGCATCTGTTTCCATTATATGCAAGGCATGTGGCCTAATTTCACACGTTTATATTAAATCAGGCTTCATGCTGCTTAATTAAGCCAAATTATTTAATCTAAGCAAGCACCGAAGTTTAATCAAACACCGCAGAACCCAAATTACATTTTAGGATACAAGTCATTATTACTACATTAACCAGAATTTTGCGATACCAGATAATTAATTTACATTCATTTACAGCGGTGGTGACGTGTCTTTCTTAATGCAGTGTCGTAACTGTGGAAAAGCCACATAGACAACATCAAGCAACATGTACAGTGAGGGAAAATAAGTATTTGATCCCCTGCTGATTTTGTACGTTTGCCCACTGACAAAGAAATTATCAGTCTATAATTTTAATGGTAGGTTTATTTGAACAGTGAGAGACAAAATAACAACAACAAAAATCCAGAAAAATGCATGTCAAAAATGTTATAAATTGATTGGCATTTTAATGAGGGAAATAAGTATTTGACCCCCTCTCAATCAGAAAGATTTCTGGCTCCCAGGTGTCTTTTATACAGGTGACGAGCTGAGATTAGGAGCACACTCTTAAAGGGAGTGCTCCTAATCTCAGCTTGTTACCTGTATAAAAGACACCTGTCCACAGAAGCAATCAATCAATCAGATTCCAAACTCTCCACCATGGCCAAGACCAAAGAGCTCTCCAAGGATGTCAGGGACAAGATTGTACACCTACACAAGGCTGGAATGGGTTACAAGACCATTGCCAAGCAGCTTGGTGAGAAGGTGACAACAGTTGGTGCGATTATTCGCAAGTGGAAGAAACACAAAAGAACTGTCAATCTCCCTCGGCCTGGGGCTCCATGTAAGATCTCACCTCGTGGAGTTGCAATGATCATGAGAACGGTAAGGAATCAGCCCAGAACTACACGGGAGGATCTTGTCAATGATCTCAAGGCAGCTGGGACCATAGTCACCAAGAAAACAATTGGTAACACACTACGCCGTGAAGGACTGAAATCCTGCAGCGCCCGCAAGGTCCCCCTGCTCAAGAAAGCACATATACATGCCCGTCTGAAGTTTGCCAATCAACATCTAAATGATTCAGAGGACAACTGGGTGAAAGTGTTGTGGTCAGATGAGACCAAAATGGAGCTCTTTGGCATCAACTCAACTCGCCGTGTTTGGAGGAGGAGGATTGCTGCCTATGACCCCAAGAACACCATCCCCACCGTCAAACATGGAGGTGGAAACATTATGCTTTGGGGGTGTTTTTCTGCTAAAGGGACAGAACAACTTCACCGCATCAAAGGGACGATGGACGGGGCCATGTACCGTCAAATCTTGGGTGAGAACCTCTTTCCCTCAGCCAGGGCATTGAAAATGGGTCGTGGATGGATATTCTAGCATGACAATGACCCAAAACACACGGCCAAAGCAACAAAGAAGTGGTTCAAGAAGTAGCACATTAAGGTCCTGGAGTGGCCTAGCCAGTCTCCAGACCTTAATTCCATAGAAAAATCTGTGGAGGGAGCTGAAGGTTCGAGTTGCCAAACGTCAGCCTCGAAACCTTAATGACTTGGAAAAGATCTGCAAAGAGGAGTGGGACAAAATCCCTCCTGAGATGTGTGCAAACCTGGTGGCCAACTACAAGAAACGTCAGCCCTCTGTGATTGCCAACAAGGGATTTGCCACCAAGTACTAAGTCATGTTTTGCAGAGGGGTCAAATACTTATTTCCCTCATTTAAATGCAAATCAATTGATAACATTTTTGACATGCGTTTTTCTGGATTTTTTGTTGTTATTCTGTCTCTCACTGTTCAAATAAACCTAACATTAAAATTATAGACTGATCATTTCTTCGTCAGTGGGCAAACGTACAAAATCAGCAGGGGATCAAATACTTTTTTCCCTAACTGTACGTACGTTGAGCTCCTTTCGCGCCGTACGTAGCCAACCGTCATAATCGGAGGTGCGCGGTGTGTGGGGGAAGGACAACAAACTAAACACAACACAGGAATCACCGACGCCCATCACGCACTGTGAACGTAGTTGGGGAACACGTGTGCCACATACCCGGCACGCTCACGCAAATGTTCGACCATTGTCGCACGCACTCGGAAGTTTGTCGAAACATACTCCACAGCGCTCGCGGGAAACGCAATTGTTCCCACGCGTCGAGCCGCCCGCTCGTCACACGTCATGTACAGGCAACGCCAAACGCGACTTGGACTTTTCTCATCGTTTTTGGCCCTAATCAATCCACTGCTGGATGAAAGCTTCACCAAACTGCCATCGTCTCTCGCGATCCTTCTCTGACGCGTTCCATCCCATGGCCGCCTCTCCATCGTTGTCCTTGACGTTCTGCCGTACATCGCTGCCCACGCGTCCTGCCCAAGGCCACTGATATTTACTTCAACTACGTCGTAACCCACGCATGGCTCTCTCAATCCGTATTTCTCTTTCCATCTCTCGATTTGATTTCAAGCGTGCATCTCACCGCACTTTTTTACCCCACTATTAATTCACCCCCCCACCCCGTCCCCAACCATTTTCTGCAAGAATGACCATTAAAATGTTTTTAAATCATAGCATGTAGTAACGCATCAATGAACAGCCTTCTTATTTTGGCACACTGAAATGTTGCTTTTCGTTACCAAGGACACTCTTCCAAAACCATTCCAACCCGCTTGCCGTGATGTAATGGACAGCACGCACTGAACTTAGAATCCAAAAAGTCACCAGATCTATCCGGCCTCCTGGCGCGGCAGTTGAAACAATGTCCACCCGGTGGAACATTGTTCACGGGTAACGCCGCAGTTGGTCGACCGGCAGGTTGCGTGCCGCGGGGTGAAGTGTGGGTACTCGCAACTCTTACAAGATGTTTAGCCAGGATGGGAGAGTAGGCCAAGTAGCCTCGAGGGGGAGGCTCGTGTCGTGGAGGCTTGTTCGCCAGCGGTGGCGTCGCCAAACAACGGCTCACCTCTGTCAACATATAAACTACATCTCGAGACTTTTGGACAGGCATTTTATGCTGCTGGAAAACGCCGGCGTTGCGATACCTCTGCTGGGCGCTGTCCCGAACGAGCAGATTGTGTGCGTGACACGGCCACAGGAGGTGCTTCCCGGCAGAGGGGCCGCGGTACCTGTTGTGTGCTAGCTCAGGTGTTTTCATTGGCCCAGACCGAGCCGAGTTCACAACTCACCCCAGGTGAGTCTTGAACTGTTGCACGGCACGTCGCACGTCAGGGGACCACTCCGGTCAGCGCCCCCCCCCAACCCCCTCCTGTCCCTCCGTTCAATCTATTCCCCATCCTTTTTTTAACTCTCCACCAATCCTATTCATTTCTCCCAGCCGACCCCCTAGTTTCCACTTAGTTTCCCCTTAACGACCAATCCGACGTGAATGTTCTTCACCTTCAACTCGGGGCCCCCTACGTCGGCTCTCCCTGTCATTGCCCCTCGCCGACGAGGATCCAGCGGCGCTATTCCAACTCATGAGCAGCCACTAGACCCGGCGAGTGGATGTTATTTATTTCCTAATAGGGTTTTGCCTCTTGGCATACCTTATAGTTGCATTCACGGATTCCCATTAAGGAATTGCAGAGGCTGTTGAATTTTTTTTTGTTAGAAAATGAAAGCCCGCACTGGCCTTACGCGGTCCCATTTGCATTCAGTAATTGGTAGTAGATTACATTTGCCGGAATTCATAAAATCACTTTTTTTCCCTCCCTCCCTCCGTATGCTTCTCCCAAGACGTTTTAATTGGTCCGTAAGTGGGCACGTATTTTTTTAACTGCCAGTTCACATTTCAAAGCAGATAGGCATTTGATATATACAAATTCATTCTGAAGTAATTTCTTAAAATTAGCCAAGGCCAGTGGATATTTACGATTACACCCTGGGTTCAATGTTGCAACTCAGTTGCCTTCCCAATTCAAGAGTTGTTTTAAATACATTTGACTGGCGTAACTCAAACGTGAAGTAATATTGAGGTACCGCAATATACCAATGGGCATTCAGTTGAGTGAGCAAGATCTACGTTAGAAATAGCGTTGTTCAATCAAAGTAAATTGAAACAGAGGTCACAAGGCTCGTAACATATAAAAGATGAGTAATGTATTAATTTGAATATTTTAAGTATAATAAATACATCCTATTTACACCCTTA